AGTTTTCATTGTGTCCTTTGAAGAAAACATACTTAGATTTATCCTTCATTGTATACAGCTCTTCCCTCTGAATAGCTTAGTAATACCAACTGTTGCACCGTCAGGGAGTAGAAAACCACCTCCCTAAAGAGGTGTGTAAACCCTTAGTCATGAGACAGGCAGGTGACGTGCACCTTAGCCTGGGCTGCTTTGGGAAGCTGAGCTTTTGGAAGCTCATCTGGCCTGGAGCTTTGAGGCTAGCCTGAGTGGTAAGACGCCATCTCAAAGAGAAATAATCCCTAGTGTAGTGTATTTATCGATCTAAAAAGAGTGAAAGACTTTTTTCCTCTTAGGTTCCTGTTGCAGTGTTTTGTTTGTGCGCTCCCCTGCTTGTTTTTTGAGGCAGGGTCTTACTGTGCTGTTCTGCTAGTTTTGGACTCATGATCAAGCAATCCTCTTGTCTGCTGAGTAACCAGGACTGCAAGTATGTGGTACTGCCTGGATTCTTTAAGTGTTTAATTAGTTGTTGTTGTTTATTATTATTATTATTATTATTATTATTATTATTATTATTATTATTTACTGCATTTTCTTATTTAAGAAATTAATCCAGGGGTCTAGAGAGATGGCTCAGCAGTTAAGAGCACTGTCTGCTCTTCCAAAGTTCTGAGTTCTATTCCCAGCAACCACATGGTGGCTCACAACCATCTATAATGAGATCTGGTGCCCTCTCCTGACATGAAGGAGAGCACTGTATACATAAGTAATAGATAAATCTTTTAAAAAAGAAAAGAAAAGAAAGAAAGAAAGGAATCCAGATGCCATGAAATATTTAAAAGTCAAAATTTGCTACTCAGCCATAAGCTTTGGATATTCCCTTAGCCAACACAGTTTATCCAAAAGAACAAACAGAAAAAGGATATATAAATTATCCAAAGAACAAACAAGAAACAAATTATATTTATGAGCTTTGGTGTGTGTAGACGGAAGCTTTCCTGTTTCCCGCAGCCATTTGGTCCCAAACACACAGAGGCTTATATTAATTATAAACAGTTTGGTCTGTGGCTTAGGCTTACTGCTAGCCTGCTATTACATCTTATATTAACCCATTTCTATTAATCTACATATTGCCATGTGGCCATGGCATTACCGATCTGCTGCCATATTGCTCCTTGGGTGGCAGGCTGGCATCTCCCTCACTCTGCCTTTCTTCTCCCTGTATCTTTGCTTGGATTTCCCACCTGGCTATAACCAGCCAAAGCAGCTTCTTATTAACCAATGGTAGCAACACATATTCACAGCGAACAGAAAGACCATCCCACAGCATTTCCCCTTTTCTGTCTAATCAAAAAGGAATGTTTTCAATTTAACATAGTAAAATTACATATAATAAAACCGTTATCACCAGGCATTGGTGGCACATGCCTTTAATTCCAACACTCGGGAGGCAGAGGCAGGTGGATCTCTGTGAGTTCGAGACCAGCCTGGTCTACAGAGTGAATTCCAGAACAGGCACCAAAACTACACAGAGAAACCCTGTCTCTAAAAAAAAAAAAAAAAACAAACAACAACAAACAAAAAACAGTTTTCAAGCAAGAATAACAGTTATAAAATCTAGTCTATTTGTATTTAGCAAAATTCAAGAAAATATTCTATCCTATTTTTGTGAGTCTAAAGTTTTATATCTAATTTATCTTTTATGATGACTAAGGAAAACCATTATAACTGTCTAGTCTTCAACTCCATCAAAGACCCCAGAAAGATATAATATCACATAAGTAAACAGGATGACAGAGATATCTGGCTGCCTGTACAGTCACCCAAAGTTCCTCTCTGATGTCTTCAGCCTATAGGTCTAGAGTATCTGGCATATTTTTCAGAGAAGCAGGAAATTCGGAAGACCATTTCACCTATTTTGGCAGTTTGTCAGTCACTTTCTCCTGTGTCCTGCAGAATTTCTGGCAGTTTCTTCTGTGAAGTGGGAACCTGAAGGACCAACTCATCCTGTTTTGGCAAAGTACAGTGGTCATTTTCCTATGGGTCCTGCATGTTCAGTTTATCAAGCAGTCCAGGCAAGAGCAGTTTCTTGCCCAAATGGCTAGCCTTTTCTATATTGTAAGCAAACTCCATAATGAGATTACTACCTGATTGAAATATATCTTTGTATACCTAAAAAACTTAACTAACATAACTTTGATTATAGATGAACTAACTATTAATCTGTATTTCTTAATGATACATTACAATTTTAAATGAGTTGCATAAACATAATACCTTAAACAAGAGTAGAAATATACATACAGTATAATAAAATTAACTTTAAATTTAAGTCAATAAACCAAAATCCATACCAATGTAAAATATGTAAGTTTAATAGTTGTATTTTTATTAAAGTAAATTCAATAATCTACCCTTTTATCCTATCATTTTTATATCATATCCCTACTTTTTCTTTTAGAAAGAGATTAGCTATGACCAATAACAATTTGTAACCAACCCCCTTTAAATGAAAACAAGCATTTATAAACTATATTTTGGGAACTGGTGGACTGGTGTCTCCCTGACTCCACCTTTCTTCTCCCTGTATCTTTGCTTGGATTTCCCACCTGGCTATAACCTGTCTTGCCGTAGGCCAAAGCAGCTTCTTTATTAACCAATGGTAGCAACACATACTCAGAGCATACAGAAAGACCATCCCACAGTAGGTGTGTAACTGGATGATACAACAGAAATTCAATAAAAAAGGTAATCTTTTTTAAAGCATCAATTGGATGCCAGCTTGCTTCTTTCTAATGTCTGTCCCCAAACACTGGTGTCGCACTACTCTGATGCACATCTCCTCCCTCAGTGCTCACCTTTCAGGGGATCTTGTACTAGTTACTGCTCTCCTTTCCCCAGCTGTCTAGAGTGCAGCTGCTGCTCACCCTGCCTGCCACTAGGTGCTGTGCTCCAGGGTACAGGAGCTTGGATTATTTTGCTAACTTCTGGCATCTCACTCTCTCCCTTTCTTGAAGTCTCAATATCTGGAAAGAGCCTGTTGAAGCATAAGTCATTTTATTCTTGTGCCCAGTCAGTAGCTCCCCATTTCTCTCCATAAAACCCCGAAGAGTCTAACACACCATGCCCCCTCATGCTCACGCTGGCCCCAGCCACGCTGACCTTGCTCTTCCTTAGGTATGGTGTATGCTGCTGCCACAGGACTCTACACATACAACTTCTGCTTCATAGAATCCTCTCCTTCATGGACCACTGCTTCCCAGTTACACTTTGGGAGACCTTCCTGGCCTTCCTCTCTTGCTTTCTTTCCTTTCCCCTTCGAGTATGTGCATGCCCTCATATGTATGTATGAAGTAGAGTCCTATCACCATTTGCATAATTTTGAAATTCACTTAATAAAATCATCTCAAGGATGTCTATTTCCACGCTTGTGGGTAATTGGAATCTAAATCATCTGAAGTGGTTTGATGTGTTGTCTGTCGCTTATTGCTCGTGCCACAGTGCTCCTTTGTGTGTTTGCTTTGGGGCTGTTGCCCCTGTGTTAGGACTGTGTCTGGAGAGGTCCTTGGCTGTCTGCTTTCGGCTCTGTCTCTCAAGCATGCGTTTACAGAGACTGGAGATGTAGCTCAGCAGTTAAGGGCACATAATGTTCTCGCTGAGGACCCAAGTTCAGTTCTCAGTACCCATGTTAGGCGGCTCACACCCACCTGTGACTCCACCTCCAGGGCATCTGACACCCTCCTCTGGACTCTGTAACCACTTACAGTCTCGTGTGCACATACTCACACACATGTATACACGTATTTTTTTAAGTTGATTTTAAGAAAATAGATTTGTAGTTTGCACGCCAGACATGCTAATTCTTAAAACAAAGTAGTAGTCTCATTTTGAACCCTGATTTTTTTTCTTTTCATTCTTGAGATAGGGTCTCACTGTGTAGCCTTCACTGGCCTCGAACTTGCAGAGGCAAATCTGTTTGCCTCTGCCTCCTGAGTGGGATTAAAGGTGTGAACTACCACAGCTGGCTTGAACCCCAAATTCCTGTTTGTTTGGTTTTTTTTTTTTTTTTTATCTGTCTGAGGTTTTGCCTGCACATATGTCTATGCACCACATGAGGGCCTGGAACTGGACTTACAGATGGTTGTAAGCTGCCTGCCGTGTGGGTGCTGTGAACAGAACCCAACCTGGGTGCTCTGCAAGAGCACCAAATGCTATTGACTGCCGAGCTCTTCAGTTACCTTCTCAGCCTCACATTCTTGATGGATGTGTGGGTGCACAGATACCAGTGTTCCTATGGAGGTCAGAGGGCAGCTTGTAGGAGGGCTCTGCTTGCACCGTGTGAGTATTGGCGATAGAACTCAAGTGGTTCTATCAGACTTCATAGCTCGTGCCTTTACCTGCTGAGCCATCTCACCAGACCGGAAAATTCATTTCTAATAAATTTTTGAGGCAGGGTCTCCAGTGTAGACCCGTGGCTGTCCTGACAGATCTGCCTGCCTCTGCCTCCCGAGTACTGGGAGTGTAGGCACATGCCACCCTAGGCAGCTTCACTTCGTTATCTGTAATTCTGTGTGTCTTTGTGCCACGAGAAGTCAGAGGTGTCAGATTCCTCTGGAGCTGCAGTTACGAGCGCCTGTGAGTTGTCGTGTGGATGGTGGGAATCGAGCCCAGGTCTTCTGAAAGAGCACTGAGCCATCTCTCCAGCCCTCCATCCATTCTCAGATCATTGCTATCTAGGGTAGAATGTGCTAAATTACATATGGTCTTCTGTGTTAGAATCCTAAATCCTCACGTGCTATAACTACACAATTCAGTGTAGCATCCTTTGCTCATCTTAAGAGTTTGTTCATGTTCAGTTTAGTTATTATTTAGGATAATGTAGGGGCAGGTATTTAAGATAACGTGAAAGTTAAAAGTCGGAAGATAAATAAATTTGTAGTTTGTTTTGAATGTTGACAATATTTTTATTGATCAGTATGTTCTTGCTCTCCTTCCCCACCCCCCTCTGTCTCTTTCTCTCTCAGGTTTTGTTCCAGCTCTGGGTGGCTCAGAGTTCAGAGTTCTTCAGGCGCTTGGCCCTGTTACTTTCTACAGCCAATTCGCCTTCAGGGCCCTTACTTACTGAGACGCTCTTGCCTCATCGCATTCTGTCTGATGTGACTCAGGGTCTACCTCATGCTCACGCTGCCTGCTTAGAAGAGCTGAAACGCAGCTATGAGTTCTTCCGGTACTTTGAAACTCAGCACCAGTCAGCACCCCAGCGCTTATCCAAAACTCAGCCCAAGTCCAGAGAACTGACTAACGTTCACACAGCCGTGCGTAGCCTCCAGCTCCATCTGAAAGCATTACTGAACGAGTAAGTTTAGAAGCTGCGTGAGGAGACAGTAGAGGGATAAGCAAACATCATCTTCATTCCATTTGGCTGTTCCTTGTGTCCTCAATAGAAAGAAGAAACAGAATGGAGCATGAAAGATGGTTTGTGGGTACCAGGTACCAGGGAAACGATGATTTCTAAGCAACTGTGGTTTAAGAGAATCATTTGTAGTTTTCCCTTTTCCTGGTTTCAGCAGAAAGCAGATGCTGCTTGTCTTTGAGAGATAAAATGGAGAGGATTATCAAAAATGAGCATCTTTTTAACCCTCCTAAGGTAGGACTTTAAACTGGAACCTACAGTCTGAGAGAAGTATGTATGAGAGGCATCGCTGTATATAACTAAAGGGTAATACTTTGCTACTTCCTAAATACATCACAACAGGTTTGGAAATATTTCTGTAGCACAGAATACACTTTTTGTCCTCAGTAAAGGGCAGTGTCCACATTTTTATATTTATTTATCTTGTACTTTGCATAATATTGGCATTTAGCTATAGTTTCCAAATGTTTATATTCTGCTTTGGTGTACTTTTATCAGTTGTAAATATTTTTCTCATCTATTTCTAAATGGAAATTTTCACATTTTGAAAATTGAGTATGGGACTGGAGAGATGGTTCAGAGGTTAAGAGCACTGGCTGCTCTTCCAGAGATTATGAGTTCAATTCCTAGCAACCACATGGTGACTCACAACCATCTGTAATGAGATATGGTGCCCTCTTCTGACCTGCAGGCATACATGCAGGCAGAACACTGTATATATGATAAATAAATAAATCTCTTAAAAAAAAAATTGAATAAGCCAAGCCTAGTGGTGGATGCCTTTAATTCCAGCACTTGGGAGACAGAGGCAGGTGGATCTCTGTGAGTTCAAGGCCAGCCTGGGCTACAGGGAGAGTGGCAGGACAGCCAGGGGTACACAGAGAAACCTTGTCAAAAAGAAAGAAAAAGAAAAAGAAAAAAGAAAAAAGAACTGACTCAAGGTACATCTGAATGTAGTCGTTCCCACTGAATTGTTTTTTCAGTAAATGTGAATATTCATAGTGTAGGGCTGGAGAAAATGGGTGGGTAAGACGAGCTGGCAATCAGGAAGGTCCCTGGGATTCCTGACATGATCAGTCAAGACGTGGAGGGGAAATGCAGAATCAGACGTGAGCTGAGAAAGTGGGCCAAAAGGCCCGAGTAGTCCATCAACTAAAAAGCTTCCTGTAAGTGGGAAGAGGGAAAATAGGGTATACACAGATAGAAGTGGAAGCTCAGAAACATGTTTGAGAAGACAAGTTTACCGCAGCTCAAGGCCTTGGGAGGCTGAGATGAGATTTATGAAAGATAGGATAGGAAAAGTGAAGAGGCTGAGGTGGGAGTATCCAGTGACCTAGCTGTACTACCCTTAGGTGGCAGCATGGACAGTAAGGCCATTTCCACGTGTGTGGGAGCCAAGGCTGGATTATCCAAGTGTATTAGAAAGGATCTCTAGAGCACCAGAGCTGACAGAAGGAATAGATATACATACATACATATATATATATATATATGAATATATGTGTGTATATATATATATATATTTTCGAGGTTTATGATTATGCACGTCTGTTCACTTATATGCAGGTGCCAACGGAGGCCAGAGGAGGGTGTTGGATACTCTGGGGCTGGAGTTACAAATGGTTATTCACTCCCCAAATGGATACAAGCTCCAGCAGGCTAGAAGAGCACTAGTTCTGTTGACCACTGAGCCATCTCTCCAGCCCCATGACTAAGCTATAAGAGGGGTTTTCATCCATAACTCCCGTTCCAGGAGATCCAGCATCCTTCTCTTAATCGGCAGGCACCAGGCACACATGTGGTGCAAGATATCCATGCAGGCAAAATATTCATAAATGCAAGATAATTATAGATATAATTTCAATATATGTATTTATATATAATTTTTCTGGTTGCTAATTTCTTTTTTGTTTTTTGTTTGTTTGGTTTTTTTTTGGTTTTTTTTTTTGGTTTTTCGAGACAGGGTTTCTCTGTGTAGCTTTGTGCCTTTCCTGGAACTCTCTGTAGACCAGGCTGGCCTCGAACTCACAGAGATCCGCCTGCCTCTGCCTCCCGAGTGCTGGGATTAAAGGCGTGCGCCACCACCGCCCGGCTTGTTTTTGTTTTTTGAGACATGTAGTTTTGGTGCCTGTCCTGGATCTCGCTCTGTAGACCAGGCCAGCCTCGAACTCACAGAGATCCGCCTGCCTCTGCCTCCCGAGTGCTGGGATTAAAGGTATGCGCCACCACCACCCGGCTGCTAATTTCTTAAAAGTAGGAGATGAGTTTAATTTATTCTTTTAGATCAGGAATTGTCTAGTATGTATTTAAGAAATACTTGTAGAATAAATTACATAATACTCCTTAGAAATTATCATTTGTTTCTGGGCAGGGAGGGTTGATTTAGGTTGCTAACAAGGGTTCTGTATCACCAAGCTACATATCCAGCCACACTAGATCATTTATAAGCATACAGTTCAGTGGTAGCAAAGACATACATTTGTCTCCAGAACTTGTTTATTTTTTTTTTGAGACAGGGTTTCTCTGTGTAGCCTTGGCTGTCCTGGGACTCACTTTGTAGACCAGACTGACCTTGATTCACAGAGATCCACCTGCCTCTGCCTCCTGAATGCTGGAATTAAAGGCATGTGCCACCACTGCCCAACTTGAATTGCTTTAATTTTATAGGTTTAATTTCTTAAAATAATCCTCTTAAATGGTAGACGGAAGTTTCTTTCCCTCCAGCAGCTCCCAAATAAACACACTGAGGCTTATATTAATTACAAATGCTTGGCCAATAGCTCAGGCTTATTACTAACTAGCTCTTAAATTTTAAGTTAACACATATTCCTTATTTACGCTCTGCCAAGTGGCAATACCTTTATTAATATTGGCACATTCATCTCCTGCTCCCTCTGTGCCTGGCTGGCAACTCCAGACTCTGCCCTTCTTCCTCCCATCATTCTCAGTTTGGCTCTCCCACTTAACTTTATCCTGTTCAGCTATTGGCCAGTCAGCTTCTTTATTAACAATTGAGGGTAATACATATTCACAGTATGCAGAAGGATTATTCCACAGCAATAAATTTTACACCTCATATTTTAAAAACCTATTTCTGTTTTTCTATGTTGCACAGAGTAATAATTCTTGAAGATGAACTTGAAAAGCTTGTTTGTACTAAGGAAACACAAGAGCTGCTATCAGAGGCTTACCCAATCCTAGAACAGAAACTGAAACTGCTTGAGCCCCACGTTCAGGCCAGCAACAGTTGCTGGGAAGAAGCCATTTCCCAAGTGGATAAATTGCTGCGGAGGAATACAGAGAAAAAAGGTAGCTGTGGATTATTTTAAGCCTATGCTTGTCAAATATGCTCACTCCATTCTGCTGGAGTTCTTGTCTGTGGCCTGCCTGTTGACATGATTAAACTGGTTTCCTAAAAGTTCTTAGTTTATTAAAAAGAAAAGTTGGATATATATAAAAATTGACAATGATTTCAAAGTCTTGACTCCTATTTTAATATAAAATACGTAATGATTTGAATGTTCAGGACATCCTGTCTCCTTTTATAAAAACTGAAATGAAGGGAGAAATGTTGATAGTATTTTCTACTATCAGAACTTCCAGAAACTCTTACAGGTCGAATAATAAAAGAACTGGTTTAAGCCAGGTGTGTTGGCACACAACTTTAATCTCAGCACTTGGGAGGCAGAGGCAGGAGGATCTCTATGAGTACAAGGCCAGCCTGGTCTACACAGAGAGATCGTGTCTCAAAAAACAAAAAGGAAGGCTTTAGCTGGATATGGTTTCAAGCAAGGTCTCTTGTAGCCCAGGCTGTCCTTGAATTCACTATGTAGCTGAAGATGACTTTGAACTCCTGATCCTTCTGCTTCCACATCTGGTTTTATAGGAGTATGCTACTTCTTTTTAGTATAGACAATGAATAAAAATATAATTATACACATAATATATATTTATATATAAAATCATGTGATTAAATACCAAATTGAAATACCAGTTAATTAAAGGTAAACTCAGCTTGGTGAGCACATGAAAGTATTTACTTGTGAAACTCATTTCCAATTCTGAGTTAAAATAATAGAAAATGGGAAAATAAAAATAACATAATGTTGATCTTTGTTTTCTTTTATTATTTTTGTTTGTTTTTTTTGAGACAGGGTTTCTCTGTAGTCATGCTGTCCTGGAACTCACTCTGTAGACCAGGCTAGCTCAAACTTAGAGATCCATCTGCCTCCCCAGAGATGTGCTAAGATAAAAGATGTGTACCACCATGCCCAGTGATCTTTGTTTTTTTAAGAGAAAGAATAATGATCTGTTTTAAAAATCTCCCAACACTATGAAGAAAATATGTGTCATCTAGCATATGACAGATACTATGGCCATTTCCTCCAGAGTTTAACTTAAAGCCAAGTGCTAAATATACTGCTATTACTGTTAACTTTGGTGTCTTTCATTTTCACAAATAAGACATTTTAACCAGAACAATTTTGGAGCCAGGCATGGTAGTACACATCAAAAATCTAATACTCATGAACCTAAGGTCGGAAGATCATTAGTTTAAGACTAACCTGGGCTCCTGGGAAGACCCTGCCTCAAAACAAGAAAATCAGGGAAAATAGGAAGTTGGACTGGGAAACTAACAAGGTGTCAGTGCCAAGGATGCCATAGCATTAGATGCTCACTCATTTCTGATGACATTTCTCATCTTTATTCTGCCCCTCCCCCCTTTTAAAGGCAAACCTGAAGTGGCGTGTGAAAACCCACACTGTACCGCAGCACCCTTGATGCGGCCCACTCTGCACATTGAGGACAGAGACCCCATCCCTGAGGAGCAGGTAAGGGTGAGGTGCTGGACTCCCCTAAAGACGAGGTCCACATACAGTTTGCCTACTTGTATTTTAGGTGACATGGGTAACTGCCAGATAAACTGTTGAATTTCTGCTTCTAATGAGGTTAAGATTACAATGTAATGTGAATTTATATCAAAATATTAGCTCTTAGTGCCTTGAATTTGATTCATCGACTCAGAAGAAAATAGCCATTGACAGTGTGAAACGTTCTCATCTAGAACTCCTTTTAGTATCCACCATTAAGCTTTTTGAGGATTTTAATTTAGCAGTAGCTATGTTTGTTACCTTCCTTCCTCTCCACTGCCATTATGACTGTCCCAAGAGAAAGTCCTCCACCATGCGTCACTGCAAGTAGTGAATACTGTTAGAGCCTGTCTGCTTGAAGGTTTTTGTCTTTGGTCCCTTTCCAGGAATTAGAAGCTTATGTGGATGACATAGACATAGAAAGTGAGTTCCGAAAGGATGATTTGTATCACTTGTCTCCAGAAGACAAAGAGAGACAGAAACGTGAGCAGGAAGAATCCAGGAGGGTGCTGCAGGAATTAAAATCCGTGCTGGGATTTAAAGCTTCAGAGGCAGAAAGGCAGAAATGGAAGCAACTTCTGTTTAGTGACCACGGTAAGCACCGACTTGAGAGTCCAGGTTATTCCAGTGACAGGAACCTTTTCTTTTTGAACCATGGATGCTGTCTTAACTGTAGAACTCTGGATCCACCAGTTAGTATAATACTCTCATAGAGAAGCAAAATCAAGTTGATCAATTAAAGAATGCCATATAATCACACTGAGACTATGAAGTCACGCTTTTTTATCAGCCATGTAGTTCTTCGATAGATTTCTTTCAGAGTGGTCATTAGGTTGAATATATTGAGATGGCCATGGTGGCATTGTAATCCCAGCAAGGAGGACCTTGAGTTTGAGGCCGGCTGGGGCTGCAAGCTTGTGCTACCTAGGCCACATAGCAAGACCTTTTTGGGGGGACAGACAAAAGAAAGTAGTAAGTTTGAGATTCCAAACTCTGTTCTCTGTTTAAAGTACTTAAGTAAAACTCACCATTAGTAACTGTTTGATGTTGAAAATGCAAAAGATCAGGGCCACTTGGCCACTTCATTTAAGTAGATGGAAGCAGAGGATGTGTTTCTTTGTGTGCTGACTCCATAGTCCAAGTCTTGATGCTGTTGGCTGGCCTTCGACTCCTTCATGGTATTCTCGCTTTTTTCTTCAGTCATGCTTCATGGGAAGCAAAAGGAATGAAGAGAAACTTGATATTGGCAATGTCAACTTAGTTCATTCTCGATTGAATGTGGACTTATAAGAAGGTAGAACGGGCCTTCCATCCATTTTAGAGTATCTTCATGGACCCTCAACTCCAGTTGCCTGCCTTCCCCTTCTCACTAGAAGTATAGAGGGCATCTAGTCTGGAGAGCTCCTTGGGGTTCTCCTGTCTTCTCTTATGAACCCTCACCTTTCTCTCTAACTCAATAGATACATGTTGGTTTCATCTTTCTTTGCTGTTCCGTTGGCTCCCCCTAGAACCCAGACCCCACTAGATTATGCTTGTCCATTAGAATAGCCCCTTAGCTGACCTCCATTTCAGTACCTTTTCCCTAAGCTATCTTGTAACATATTCCAGACTTTGTTCAAACTCAAACACCTCATTGATTCTGTCTTAAAACTACAATGGTTCCACCTTTCTTATTATATTAGCCTTTCCAGCATAAGAATCTATCATGTCCACTTGTATTCCCGGTATTTCTAATAAAGGTATCTTCCTCAACTTACATTCACCTAATTAGATTAGTCCCACAGACTTGCTGTTTATATTCATGAAGAAAATGTATGCTGGTCTCTGACCAAGAACTCGGTCTTCTCTGACAAGCTGTCCTCTCTGCCAGTGTTTCCTCTGTGACTCCTCAACTGCCCCAGCTCTCCTGAGAGACATGTAGTTGGGATGTAGAGGAAGGCTTGAGGCACAGAGCAGAGACATGGTGGCCTTCCCAGAAGCAGCAGCAGAGTTCTCTAGTCAGCTGGTTCATGAATTAGAAATTGGTGATATTATTTTTTTAGACATGAACAGTTTGTTTTCTTGGTTTTTAGGCTCTAAACTTGTCCTTTTTCTATCTTTTATTCTCCAGCAGTATTCACTCAGCAAATTCTGACTCAATAAGTAGTCATCTCAAGTACCTTTCAGACACCTGACACTGTTTACTGCTGTGTGTAGCACATAGATCAAGAGACAAAAAGAATCTACTCCCCTAGAGACTTAGAATATTCTAACAGTCATCAGCTAACCCATCCCTAGCACATTCTCTGCTTCCCCCATTCAGGTAGCAGTGTTCCTGACTGGTAACGTGGTGTACTTGGGAAGACCCAGCAGATTTATGAACACAAGTGTGCAGAAATGCTGAGAATAGCATTACCTATAAGCTTCTATCTTTCATTATTGTGCAGTGTTTTTCTTAGTATTATTTAGCTGCAAAATTACCTATGGATTGACACTGTGGACAAATGAGAGAAATGTGTCTCATTTTCAGGAACATGCTTTTGATCCCACTTGCCTTTGAAAAGGCAGTAATGCTGTAGAGTTTGTGAAAATAAGTAAAGGTCTGCTGATGCTAGAACAATGCTTTCCCTTGACAATTTCCAGTACGTCTTCCAGAGTTGTTTTCATCTCTGCCTACAGGGGTAAAGTCCGAGTGGAATTAGAGAGGGCAAGTCTACACTGGAACCTGCGGTGGCCATGTGTCTGTTGCTGCTGCTTCCGTAGTGGAGTTACTGCAGCCTAGGGATGTTTCTTGGCAACGGACACGTTTTACACAAACGCTTTTTAACTATCCGCCAGACCTTCAGGATGCGCTTTTTTCCTTCCGCCATGCTTCCTAATAGATTGTATTGTACTAACCCTCGTGCTGGGAGGAGAGACTGCCTAGCAAGCAACCCACTGCCTACTAACACCAAGAGGGGCTAACTAAAACGTCATTGTTCTTACAAGGACGACTGCTACCGTATGGATCTAGATGATATTCATGGATTATACTTTGTTTGGTAGTTGATCTTGAATCAGATTTTATTTCGTGTGTGTTCTCTGTAGCACAACAAAATGTAGACTACTTTGCTTCCATGCAGGTTCTTGTAAGGTGGCTGACAAGTAAGTTGAATTGTATGTTACATTGCCCCACGCTGTTTTACCTTGTAAATATGTATGTGATGGAGATGCTGTTTTCTGGCTCACATCCGGCTTTTTATCTTTGGGGTGAAAGCACACCGTGTATTCCTTTAATGACAGTGGTCCCCAGCTTTAGTGTACATCAGAACCCCCAGCCCCAGTGTCCAGTTCCCTGTCTGTGGAGGATCAGACTCCAGGAGCTGTTCCTACCAGCTTCCCAGGGATGGGTGGTCTTGCTGCCTCAAGGACCGTGCTTTGAGAACCACTGCCTCTGAACGGGAGACTCCTCAGCAGGTCCCTGTCTCAGTTTATTTCCTAGGTATTTTATGTCATAGCATTCCCCCATTTTACAGAGTCCCATTTATTTTCCTAGGAAGTTTTATTGAGCTTTTATTTATTTGTTGTTCCTTTTTAAAAAGCTACCGGGAGTTAAAGTCATTGGGTCCTTAGTTATTTTTGTTTTTTTCTTTTCTTTTCCTCTTTTCGTTCTTTGAAGCTGTGTTGAAATCCTTGTCTCCTGTAGACCCAGTGGGATCTGTAAGTAATTCAGAAACACCCATGAACTCAGATACAGGAGCAGTCGGTAGGAATGGTCCTGAAGAGGAAACTAGTGAGCCCTCCACAAGTGACCCTGAAAGGGGTAGGACTGAGTTTGTGTGTGAAAGCCCTCCAGAGGGTGGCGGTAAAGACCCTTCTGAGAATGAAGCCTTCCTCCGAGGAGCCGAAGAAAGAATGCTCTACCAGTGTGAGAGTGAGGCTGAGTCCCCTCAAGCTGCTGCTGCTGCCGCCGCCGCTGCCGGGGCCACTGCCCCTCCAACTCCCAGAGACTCACTCCAGCTCTCCATCAAACAGAGGCTGGCCCGACTGCAGCTGTCCCCAGAATTCACCTTCAGTGCTGGCCTGGCTGCAGAAGTGGCTGCCAGGTCTCTCTCGTTCACCTCCATGCGGGAACAGACTTTTGGCGATGAGGAGGAGGAGGAACCAGTAGTTGAAGGAAGTGAGAATGAGGTGGAGGAGAAATAAAAGTCACGATGAAGGATTTTTGGTTGGTCCTTTCATAAAGATGTTTCGGCTTCAAGACTGAAAAGGAAATGAGTGTGTGTTTACTCTGTAGAAAGCTAAGGCGCGGGTTTCCAGGGCGAGGACTCATTGGAAAACCTGACCTGAAGTCAGTAGAGACCTGGCTAGGCAGGTCGTTTAGGAGTAGGAGAGGGAGGTAAGGGCATTTTTGAATAAACTGCTGTTTCGTTTATGGCACAGCTGATAATCTTGGCAATTCTTTAAGTACTTTTAATAAGAAATGAATTTATCATTTTTTTGCCAAAATTTGCTGCCATAAGGTCACTGGGATGGTCTCCTGCAGAGCATAAACATTTAGAACAAGCTCTTTCTATTGTGTCTTTGCAGTGTGTAACTGCAGCGATCATGTTAATATGTTGTTCGTACTTTATTTTGTTTATACCACTCCTAAAACAAAGATACAGGTTCTGAATAAAAATATTTAATTACTACAATTGATGTGTGCTGGGGTTTGGAACATCAAAATAGTTTCAAAGGTGGTTTGGGCTGTGGCACATTTCACGTCTTCTTATTTTCATATGTGTGTTCGTTTTAAGGTGTCATGCAGTCTTCCAAAGGAAAATATTGTGCCATTTTAAGAAACACCCTTCTAGGGTCTTTTTGTTGTTGGTTTGTTTGTTTGTTTGTTTTGTTCACTCCTGTTGCAGCTCAAAGAGATGATGTCAGGATGGCATGACTCCATCCAAGGCCCCATCTCCAACCCCACAAAAAGTTGTCAGTTTACGTGGAGACAACTGTGCCTCTGCTTCAGTAGTCCCAGTGCTGTCTTCCAGTCTGGCCTGTCTTACTAAGACTCAGGAACACGTCAGCTTTCTTGGAAAGTATCCTCGTCCCTTTATATTCCACTGTGACTCCGTCTCGCAGAGATGCTTTCCACAGACCAGTCTCGTCTGCTTTGTCCTTTGACTGTGTTTTCAGTGATGTTTTCTGGAATGTTCTCTTTCTGAAACCTGTTGTTACTGTGCACTTACACAGTTCATAGACATTATTTGGGAAGAATGTAAGAAAAAAAGCTCAATTTATGCTGCTGTTCTAGAAGGAAAGTATGTGAATTCCAGTAACTTACCCTTTTTTTTTTTTTTTTGATTTATTTATTTATTATGTACACAGAAGAGGGCGCCAGATCTCATTACAGATGGTTGTGAGCCACCATGTGGATACTGGGAATTGAACTCAGGACCTCTGGAAGAGCAGTCAGTGCTCTTAACCTCTGAGCCATCTCTCCAGCCCCGTAACTTACTCTTTTTAGTGAGGAAATTTACTTATACTCAAGTTTTGTTGTTGTTAATTTAGCAAATATTTTTTATCCTGAGGAAAACTTTCGACTTTATATGACTAGACTTTGGACTGTTAGTGATTTTGCGTTTTTCTGATAATTTACAGTGTTAACATGTCAGGAGCAGTATCTTAAGCTGGACATGGAAATAGCTAAATTTCAAGAAAAAGAGGACCTCCTGTGTTGTAACTGACTTCTGTATTCCTAAATGACACAGTTTTACTTTCTTACTTAAGTTGTTGTTTCCAACTCCATTTTTCCCAGATATAAAAGTTATTAGGGAAATTTTGTTAAGAGTTCTTTTAATTTATAACACAGGAAAAATTGGAGTTTAATCATTTTAATTCTTTTAGTCTATTTTGATTCAATCACACCAATTTAACCAAAATCTGTTCATACTATTTTATCAGCTTTATGCTCTCTGAGCTGATGCCTTCAGATTCTGAAGGAGGAAGTTTAGTTCAGAACTCCCAGTGCTCAAGTCTAACCTGCTCTGTTCACAAGCTCCTGTTTAGTTCCATGAAAACTGCTTTTGAAGTCACAATTAAGGACATTGTGACTTCAAGTGATGGTCTTTTTAGGTAATCGTTTTCGTATTTCTTCCATCTTTTAAAACCTTTCCAACATAAATCTCTGTTTTCTCTGTGAAATTTCCTCGACTAACTTTCTCTTGAAATAGTCTAAGTCGATGTTCCTTGGTTGTTTTAGTGGGTACCTGAGTCATAATGAAGTAGAAATCTTATTTTTTTTTAATACAGACTTAAGCCATGCTCTCTGTAATTCTTGGATGTTTTGGTACAAGACCGAGGTACTGTTTATGCCCAATAAAGTCTAAGATCCCTTGCTTAGCATCTGTACTTCTTGCCACGAGTACATTTTGTGTGTGGACAGGCTGACGAGATACAAGTGGACGCCCTTCCATGAGCTTTCCTAAGCTACCTCACTTTTTCTTGACTGGGTTTAATACCTGTCATTCAATAAACCGAAGAATCTTCTGGGAAAACATTTTTGGCAGAAAACTTATCCTACTTTCCAAATTTTACAGAATGATTAATCTTGTTGGGAATAGTATTCTGACAGCTTCTAGTATAGACATTGCCAAAGTTTGTTTTACCATAGCTAATCTAGAACTCAGAGGGGAAATGCATGCAGTTTGGGTGAAGACAGAATTTTTACCCTTTGTGTGTCTACAGATGGGAACGTCGGGACAAGAAGTGGGGTCATTGCCATCCTCACAGCCTTTTTCTCTGCTTCAGTAAGGCCTTCCCTGATGTCTGGCAGATCTGGGGCCAGACTGACCTTTCATTTGCAAAACTGCTTTTTTTATTAATCTTTTGCAAGCCATGTATGTTATCTAACTTTATACATAAAGTCTTTGTTAAAACTAATTGTAGTCACAGCATCTGAATCTATTTCCTTAGGAGCTGATGATAAGCAAGTCAGGAAAAAGACACACATTTAAGGCAAATTGATATAGATTTCAGAGCATGCTCTGACTCATGCTTGTAATGCCAGCACTCCAGATGCACAGTCAGGAAGATCACTGCATACACAGTGAGAACCTGTATCAAGGGAGAAAAAAGAAAGAGAGAGAGAGCAGGTGCCAGGCTTTACTGCAGAAAGCAGCTGGAGTCTTAATCCCAGGCCTTTCATTCATAGGATGTGAGTCTGAATCCCAGGCCTTTCATTCATAGGATGTGGGTTTGAATCCCAGGCCTTTCATTCATAGGATGTGGGTTTGAATCCCAGGCCTTTCATTCATAGGATGTGAGTTTGAATCCCAGGCCTTTCATTCATAGGATGTGAATACTGCCAGCCTCATTATGTTGGGAGAGTTTTCTCAGGAAAACTCAAATTATCTGAATATTTCTGATTTCTTAGAAATTTAAAAAGAAATGATGCTTGTGAGGCTGATGAGTAAGATCTGGTTATAAATGTATAGCTCAGTTTATTAAAATAGATAATAATACTCTTATTCATATAATAAGAGACACGGTGCTTGAATGTTAAGCATAGGAAAAATCAACTACTGATACATTTAAAAACGGAGTGTTGATTAGAAGTGACCCTAGATTTCGTTTTCACTGTGCTGTTTTCTTCCCATGTCAAACATGACTCATGTTTCATGTTGCTAAATGAATAGAAGTAATATGGGGGGGGCACTGATTGGTTTATTGCAGTATATTGTGTTTATACCCAAATAGAACAAAGACATAAGAACCAAATCCTGGAGCCCGAAGTGTCACACAACTAAGCCTGGTTGAACTAAAGTGAGGACGGCGCTTGAACAACAACCAGGCAGAGCATAAGGATTGATTCTCTTCTTCCAGATCTGTTTATGGGGATATGTCTGGGCACTTTATGCTTAGATTATAAAAACAAAGGAGGTAAGAGACAGCAGAATGTCTGGTGCAGTGACCATTCGGTGTCCTCCTCAGCAGGTGACTAGCTTGAGTCCCTTCATCTTCCAGGAAGTGGAAGCAGATCCATTTAATCCCTGAGTTTAACGGTCTACTAATGGACTTACTTCGTACTTCTCTCCCTGAATACTAGCATGTACAGGAAATGTCTTTTCTTTGAGAAAACAGTTCCTCTGGTGGAGAATAAACAAACCCACTGTCAGGGACAACCGGACATAAAAAGTCAAGCCCCCCTTTGCTGCTTGATTGCCTATTGCTTGCTTTTTGAGTTGTGTCTGTTCTTTTCACAGTTGCCCTCTCTTCCCTTCTAATCAGCTGTCACTCTTGCTGCTGTGTTGTGTGCCTGCCTTCCGCAGTAGGCCCCTAACTTGCTGCTCGTAATCTGCTGTGGACTGAGAAACCAGATTGCCCAGCTTGCTAGGACTGTGTCTGAAGTAAGAGTGAGTAGACTGGAAAGGCTGAGGGCTTTTCTGTCGGTCTCCTGCATGGACTGTGGCATGCCTGTTCGGCCGCTTCGCATTCTTGTGTGTGCATTTCATGTCTTACTAAAAACTTGCTAAAAAGTACTCGGTTGAAAATACAATTGCCATATATTTGAAATATTAATGTGGTGTTTGTGTGCTGATGTTTCTAGGACCCCCTCACTAATGAATTCAACTGTCAAAGAAAAGTTCACTGCCATCCTTGTATGTCGATGTGTGTGTTTCAGAAAAATGTTGGTCTTTGTTTTTGTTAATTAGTCTGCATTCAGTACACAGGTTTAAAGTTGATGTCATGATTGTGAATCCTGCACAGTAGTTACTGGTTTGAAACGAAACATGATTCATTTAGTAAGAACTGGCTCACTTGACAGGGAATGAATTATTCAGTCAGCCCAGTTCTCCTTTAACAATCTATGAAATATACCTTAATCTTTTCTCTATTAAAATGAGCATTACCAGGCTGGGGAGGTGGCTCCTCAGGGGGGAAGTGCTTGCTGCATAAGCATGAGGATGAGAACCTTCTTCAGATTCCCAGCACCCACATAAAACAGTGGAGTATAATGGGGTGCATGGGGGGTGAAGTCAGGAAATACTCTGAAACTCTGGCCTGCCACTCTGGCCTAATCAGTAGGAGTAGCCTAAGGAAACACTGAATATCAACCTCTGGCCTAAAACACACACACACACACACACACACACACACACACACACACACACACACACCCTCATGTATGCATGTACACACAAACATGTATAACAAATACACAAAATTATTTTTATTATCATTATCATTATTGGTTTTTGAGATAGGGTCTCTATGTAGCCTTGGCTGTCCTGGAACTTACTGTGTAGACAAGGCTGGCCTTGAGAGCTGCCTGTCTCTGCCTACCAAGTGCTAGGATTAAAGACATGCACTACCACACCCAGCTCAGAACGATCATTATTAACATTGGCCCTGATCCACTAAATGCTGAGAACTGGCCCTTTTTGAGCTCCATTCGGCTGGGCTTTAGTTATTTGATAGTTATTCCCATTCCTACATTTATATTACTGCTTAAGTGGCTGGAATTTGCATCCCTTCTCCACATCCACATGTGCCTTCCAGTCTGCTCTGAAGACTAGTTGACTCTGCTGGTTAAATTGTGGGAGGTAAGAGCAGATGGATGCAGACTGAGAAGACCTCCTGCTTGAGCTCACTGCCTTTCTGTAGCATTTCTTAGGACCTATTAGACTGCAGTCTTTGCTCAAGTAGAATTACTGGGTTAAATGCCTGCTCTCAAATACGAATTGTTGTTATATAGAAATAACCTTTTTTGTCAACATTTTATCTTCTCTAAAGTTGGCTCTGTATTGTAATTCTTTTGCAGTAATTAAAACCAGGCCATCGGAGTTAGCATTGTCACTTATATTTTCTGTTTGAATTGGATACCACATGCTGTTATAAATTTCTTTGGCTTTTTTTTTTTTTAAGAGAAATGCATCTTCATTTCCAAAACGAAGTACATTAAGCCTGGAAAGCAAGAAAACATTAATTATTGAAGATATCTGAAAAGTAATGGGCTTGTAGACTCTAGGCCACAAAGACTTTATTCCTTAATCTGCTAAGTTTTTAACCAGCCCCGTCGCTTTCTTTCATTCAGCTGAAGGGAAAATATATAAAAGCTTCCCATGATTTATCAGTATTGGAGCTAAGGTCAATAACTGAGTGACAGAATTTCCACTGTCATTCAGTAGCAGACATGCCTAAATTAGCCTTTAATATATAAAATAAGCAAGATGAGTTTCCTCTCTCGAATGAAAAAAAATAACATTTTCAAGTAAAATTAGACTCCATCTAGAAGCAGCTCTTATAGTATGCATTTCATTGCACCATTTATGTACTGTGGGACTCAGGTTTTCATCCTATACAGTGTGAGTGGTATGTCAGTCTATTTTACAATCAGACTTCATGCAGCGGGCCTCCAGCTATCCATCTTTAAGGAAGGGAATTATGACACAATGATTGTAAAAAGAATGGTCCAAACCAGTTTCTTGTGTTGACACCATTGTAGAAGAGAGTGACGCCTGACTTCTCTTTGAATAAACTGTTAGAGGAGCATGGTTCTACCCAGTGCAGTTGCTGTAAACCAAAGAGAAGGAATTCATGTCAGGGCTCACATAGGCAAGAGTTAGCAGAATCAAGAATCGACTTTATACTTATGTTTAAATGTGTGATAAAATCCAGATGTGGTGGCGCATGCCTTTAATCCCAGCACTCCAGAGACAGAGGCAGGTGGATCTCTGATTTCGAGACCAGGCTGGTCTACGTAGTGAGTTCGAGGCCAGCCAAGATTATATAGTAATAATTGTGTGATAGATTAGAATACACACGATATCTTTAAAATGCAGTACATTAGTATCCACCCGAGTTTGTCAGCAGGGACATTAGTTTTATCCCTGTGTACTGAAAGTCACTTAGCCCGTGTGTGGCTGAAGTAGAAATGGTGTTTAGGGTGTGTGTACTTCTGGGGTGTGCAAGCTTCAAAACGGGACTGTCTGTAGATGTGGTGCTAGACAGATGTATTTATTCTTACTTATTTCCTAAGAGTTTCTTAAAATAGATAATGTTACTGTTTTAGGCTTTAAGACTTGTCAGTTTTATAACATTTCCTAAAGATTGACTACATACAAATACGTTTATTGTTGAATATTTCTTCTGAAACAAAAGTATGGCATCTGTAAGTTCACTCCTTCCTAAGGACCTAAACAACTTCTCAGCCCTCTTCTCCTTCCAACTTAGATGACAAAATTGACTGTCTCTAAGTCCACGTATGTTCTGCCCTTCTCCCTTCCAGTCTGTACCTTCTGTTTAATACTGCAACTTAAACAGTGCTTACTAAGCACAGTACTAGCATGTGACTATGTATGGAAGGCTCCAAGAACGTCACTCCTGTCCCTGAGAGGTTGGTGTATGGCCCCGAGACAGCCCTGGAGGCCCACATGGGTGAGAGGCCCAGAAGCCCATTCAAGCCGAAAGCACCCCCAAGGAGTTTGGTTCTGTTTGGGTTTGTTCTAGGTATGGTCCCAGGGATCCCAGATCAAACCAGGCCCCTGGGCCTATCCTAGAACCAACCTAAGCCCGCGCATCATTCCTGGACCATCCAGAGTGTGAAGACTGAAGATAACTGAGGCTGACCACACACCCTGTACTCACCAAGATTCACTTTTTATATATGTATCCATTGTTTAGCAAGCAGTGGCTGGTTTATCTATCTGAAATCAAAGTGACAGCATCTGGTAACAACATAAGGTCCCCCCATTAATAAATACTACAGTAGCTTCCCATAATAGAAAGTCTACGTGCTTGTTATTAATTGCCAGTGAGGAGAACTGTTCTTGTGATTTTTGTCATCAGATAAAATAGATTAAAATGTCTATTTTAAGATGCAGCAACTTAGCCACATAACAGCCTTCTTCCAAAATGAATGAATTTTGTTTTCTTAACTATCAGTGACGCTGTATACGTCTCCTTCAACTGTGTGGTTTAGTCACACTTTCTGAAAGGTACCCGTCTTTATCTTCTGGCATCTAATGCCAAGTGATTTTAAATTCTTGTTTCAGAAACTAGTATCTTTTCCCTGTCACTGAGTCTGCTGCACATCAGAGCTCACTTGAAAAGTTTTCTGTGGTTCCTAAGAGCAAGGTAGGCCGGTACAGTAGAAGTGAGTGAAGCCCTCAGATTTACATCAGAATATTTTAAGAACTTCATTTTTCTTCCTTGCTGCTCTGGATTTTTAAACCATTCTGATCTAGTAAATGTATTATATGGACTCATATCATAGCTGGCATTGCTACAGTCAACTGCCTATTTGTTTGTTTTGATTTGGAAGACAAGAATTCTGAAAGGGCATGAAGGAAGACCCAGACTCGAAAATCATGGGAAGCATTCAAAATGTATGCTTTTGATATTTAGTGTAGACTACTAAGCTCTCCATAGACAAGGAACTTGAAATTGTGCTGTTCTACCGATCTTTATCACGTCAGCAAATTTAGGTCACCAGGTCACTGTTTAAAATGGGCTGGTGCCTGTTGAGGCTCATCTGAATAACTCAACTGCGGCATTGGTTCTGCACCATATTCATAACGCGGATTTTTTTTTATTCCAAAGATTCAATTTTGTGCTTCTCTCTCAGTGTTCTTTTCCTTGTGGTATTTTCCTTGTGGATTACTTAGCTAGCTGAAATTCTTGGCATTGCCTAAAATATATATGAACATGTTATGTTGATGTACAGTATGTTTTGTCAGGATTTGGAGGACATTGCTCTAGTTTACATCATTGATCATGGACACTGAAATAGGAAAGTATGGACTATTTAATGATCGTGTGTGTGTGTGTGTGTGTGTGTGTGTGTGTGTGTGTGTGTGTGTGTGTTTTAAGTCAGGGTCTCATATCCTAGGCTAGCTTTGAACTTTCTATATAGCTAAGGTTAGCCTTAAACTTCTAATCTGCCTGCTTTTACCTCCCGGGTTCTGGTATTGTAAATATGTACCACCAAACCTGGCTGTTTTCTTGTTGTTTGTTTTGTTTTGTTCTTCCAGACATTTTGTAACACTGACTGGCCTAGAACTTGTTGTGTACACCAGGCTGATCTTGAACTTCTGGCAATCCTCCTGCCTCCACCTCTAGAGTGCTGAAATTACAGATGCGTGCCACCATTCTTGGCAAGGTTGGGCTCTTTAGTCAGTGGTCCGGGTCTCCTCAGTGGTAGAGCACTGGCCTACCATCTGCAAGGCTCATCCCCTCTCTGACTCCCTCCAACCCCCAAAACAGCCTTTGGAAATACTCTTTCAGATCCTTTTTAGTTTCATTTTATGGTTATTTATGCTTTATATATTAGAACTTGGAACTCAACATTCCCTACCCTAACTGAAGACTTGAGTTATAAAATCTTGGCGGGAAGGGGGTGGGGGGGCTTTTTTTATTAGGATAAAACACCAAAAATTTTACCATTGCCATTTTTATGTTCAATTCAGGAAATGTTGTGCCTTTAATGAAGCATTTCCAGAACTTTTCATTGTACAAATCTCAGACTCCTCTATGACTCAGATAAGAGTTACCCTTCCTCCGCTCCTTCCCACAGCCCTTGGCAGGCACCATTCTGTTTCCTGTTAGGACCTCAGTTCATCCCATTTAGCATGTGACAGAATTTCCTTGTTTAGGGCTGAATAATCTACACATCTACCGTGTGTTGCTGGTCATTCATCTACTGGTGGCCATTGACTGCTCCCCCCTCTTGATTATTAAAGTGATGATGCTGTGGATATATTCAGATGCCTCCTGTTCACCTTGGTCGCTCTTAGTCACCTTCTGTGTCTTACCACGTCAATTGGTTGTCGACGGTTTTTAAAAGCTGTTAGAACTGTAGGCTTGCGAATGCTGTATAACTGTTCTCAGCTTAAAACAGCGCTAATAAAATCTGAACTGTCTTGTATATTTTTGTGTGTCTCTTTTTGACCCTGCTGTTTGCACCCTGGACAAATGACTAGAAGGAAGAAGTCCTTTCTCTCTTCCTCCTGCCTGTCACTGCTTCTCTTCCTTTGTAGTATTTCCCAGCACTTGACGCAAGAATAAAAAAGATCGTGTTGCCAGGGCAATCCTTTGAGTCACTAGCCTAACTTTTGCTTGTTAAATATCTGGCGATAATTTACCAGAGAGAAAACGGTGGCTTAATTTTAGATTATCCGGGTTTTTGTTGTTGTTACAGTTTTTTGTTTGCCCTGGGTATTTTTGTTTGTTTCGTTGGTTGGTTGTTTTTTTTTTTTTTTTTTTTTTTTGGAGATACAGTTAGAGCCTTCTTCCAACTGCTAGGATTACAGGTGTGGACCACCACTGTGCCTGGCTTGAGTTTAAAATTTCCATTTCCACCATTCCTTCTGGATACAACAGGTTCTGTCTGTTACCCTCCTGACAGAAAAGATGTGCCAGCGTCAAGGAGGGAGTTAGTATCCAGTGGTTCAGACCTTGTCTTGGGATAGTCCCAGGAGTCTCAGAATAGCCCTGTAAATAAGATGCTGGATAAAGAGAAAGTAGCCTTTCTTGAAACTTTTAAAAATATAAACTACCTTTCTCCAGGAAATGTTTGGTCAAGGAGAAAAAGTACCCCAAAAAGCAGGTTTTGGAACATGCCTTTGTCTGAGATTTGCTGGTTAAAAGTGTGAAATGAAAGTGGGTGGTGGTGGTGCACACCTTTAATCCCAGCATTCAGGAGGCAGAGGCAGGCGTATCTCTGTAAGTTCGAGGCCAGCCTGGTCTACAGAGAAGTCCCAGGACAGCCGGGGCTACACAGAGAAACCCTGTCTTGAAAAACAAGAAAACAAACTATATCTCTCTGGGGCTGGAGACATGACTCAGTGGTTAAGAGCACTGACTGATCCAGAGGATCCGGCTTTGGTTCCCAGCACCTACATGGCAGCTCACAATCTTCTGTAACTCCATTCCAGGGGGATCTGATGCCCTCTTCCATCTTCAGGAATGCACATGGTATAGACATATACACAGGTAAAACATCCATACACATAAAATAATAAAAGATTTGCTTTAAAAAAGTGTGAGATGACATAAGACATGTGTAGTTACTCTACCGTATCTGGAAGTCGCTGGGGAGGAAATAGCCCTTGTGATAATCCTTTCTTGTCTTCACAATTTGCTTTTGAAGGTCATTAGCTGATGTGCTGTACCCATTGAAGATAAAGTTGGCAAAGAGTAATTTTCCTCGAATGTACATCTGGAAAAAGTTAATAAAACATTTTCAGAATTTAATCCCAAGAATGGTCCTGTTGATTTGAAAGGAAACACTTCACTCTAAAAGCATTCATGTTTATACATATGAAACAGCATATATATTCCTAGAGTCTGAGCATGAGGTATAAAGCTAGGAAGACAGGCCTATTAGCTGTGTTGATCAGACATTCAAAGTGGTCAACCAATATGCTAATTAAGTTCAAAGATACCAGCATGTGTTCTTAAGCATTATAATGTGTTATGTTTTCTTTTACAGCTAACCACCTGGCATTTGGAAGTCAGTAGATTAAATTACAAACAAAACAAGAACTCTGCAAATTGTGTGACCCATATTGAGTCACTCATCTTTAAGAAAAAGGCACATTGATTATGATTTGGGAATTGAACTAGACCTCTAAAAACATCTTCTATTCCAAACATTGTTTACCTGGTTTTTACAGGGATGTGTCTGAGTGCGTTTATGTGCACCATGTATGTACAGGAGGCTGCAAAGGTCGAAGAGGGTGTTAGATACCCTGGGACTGGAGTTACAAGCCGTTTTGAGCCTCCATGTAGGTGCTGGGAACTGAATCTGAGTCCTCTTCAAGAGCCTTAAATGCTCTTCACCACTGAGCCATGTCTCCAGCCCATTTCTCTAACTAGTAATAAAGAGGTCCAGCTCTTCAGTATCAAGCCAAGCTTCTCATTCCACCTAAGGTGTAAGAGAATCTTAAATCTTGAGACACAGCACATGATTTGAGATTTTCTTTTTCAGCTATTAGAGATGGGGAGGAGGGGATTCCTTTTACGGGTGGTAAGAGAAGAAAATAATTAAAACTTTAAAAGCTTGTTAGAGCACAGAATTTAATAAAGTATGCCTCGTGTCTTCAAATCCTAAGAGACTGAAAGTCTTAGAACTGTGTGAATTCCACAGCTCCACATTATTCCTTTCCCTTTAGATTATATGATCTTTTCATCATGAAGAGGTGTTTTAACACAAGGTTTCCTCTATGGAAATAGAATTTTCTGGCCCATCATTTCTGCAACGTAAGAACCTATTTCCTAGGTCCATCTACATGGCTAATAAGAGATGAAATGACATTCTGTGTGGTTCCTGGGCCTGAAATACTTTGTCTTTAGCCTTATTCTTTAACACTCATACCTGCCTATTATCCATGAAGCATGTATATTGCTTGAATTTAGAAGGTGAAACTATACATATTACATTATTATTATTATTTTGGTTTGGTTTGGTTTTTCAAGACAGGGTTTCTCTGTGTAGCTTTGTACCTTTCCTGGAACACACTCTGTAGCCTAGGCTGACCTCGAACTCACAGAGATCTGCCTGCCTCTGCCTCCCAAGTGCTGGGATTAAAGGCATGCACCACCACCACCCGGCATTATAACCAATAACAACGTTATAATGAAGGACACATATGTGAATATTTTATAAGATCTAAAACACCAAACACTGTTTCTCAATAGTGACAAGGACAATGTTTAGCCAGCACCCCCCCCCCTTGAAACTAAAATGCTATATAAAGAAGGGAAAGTGTAGCTCTGTGAGTTCGAGGCCAGCCTGGTCTACAGAGAGAGCTCCAGGACAGCCATACACAGTGAGACCCTGTATGGAAGGGGAAAAAATGGGCTGGGGTGTAATTTCTAAAAAGTGATGAACTGGCAACACTTCATCCTGATTTGGTTTAGGTCTTGGGTCTTCCATTCTATTTGGAAAAAAACTTTCCATCCGACATGTGTTAAGCTGCTGCCTAGAGCCTAGTGATAAAGGCCCAGCAACAGTGCTGCAGGGTTCAGTTCCTGCAAAGATGACTATCCCGATCATGCAGAGAAATGTTAGACTGCGGAAAAATGAAAACCTTCAATTCTGTGGCTGAGGGTTGGACCAGAGTTTATACCTCTTGCATGTGCTCTCACTCACTCTTGCTCTTCCCACCATTCCCTCTTTTAATAAAGTCTCCACATGGCCCCGGCTAGCCTAGAACTTGACCGCAAGCCTCTGCCTCTGCCTCCCTAGTGCTGGGATTACATGTGTGCTCTGGCGTGCTTGGCCACACACTCTTATCTTCATGGTGTGGTTAGGGAATTGCAGCTAGCTTCAAAACCCAGAATATGGGTTGAGGGTGTAGTTTAATACTAGAATATGCACTTGACATGTCTGAGGATGTGGGTTCAGTCCCCAGCACAAAAACAAGATACCTGGGATGATTTTGTAACATTTTAATAATCAAGAAGCCCTCATACTATTTTCACTGTGGGCCCCAGTTTTTGAAAGACTTACCTACCCCGGAGATCTATATCATAAACTATAATTTATATTTGTGCACTTTTATTCATTATGTATAGTTTTTCTGCCTGCATGTGCCCTTGCAGGCCAGAAGAGGGCATCAAATCTCATTATGTGTGGTTGTGAGCCACCATGATGTGGTTGCTGGGACTTGAACTCAAGAGCAGTCAGTGCTCTTAACCGCTGAGCCATCTCTCCAGCAATCTGTGCACTTTTAAATTAACAAAGTCATAATGACTGTGCTGCACACCAGACACTGTTCTTGATGCTGAAGATGTATGTATCTACAAAGTTTCTCCTGCTGAGTACTACCTGGGAAATGCGCACACTTGCAAAGTCAGTTGTAATAAGTGCTGTACAAAAATAAAGCCATATGGAAAGTAGAGTCCTTTTTATACAGGGCAGTCAGATACACCAGGAATGAAGGAAAGAGCTCCACAGACACCAGAGAGAAAGGTATGCCAAAAAAAAAAAAAAAAAAAAAAGTCCGGGCGGTGGTGACGCACGTCTTTAATCCCAGCACTCGGGAGGCAGAGGCAGAGGCAGGCGGATCTCTGTGAGTTCGAGGCCAGCCTGGTCTACAAAGGGCGTTCCAGGAAAGGCGCAAAGCTACACAGAGAAACCCTGTCTCAAAAAACAACAACAACAACAAAAAAGTGTTCCTTGAGGCAAGAATGAGGCCAGGGGCTGAAGCCCATCTAAATGTTGTGGGATATTTTGATCACATTCTGACACTCCTGAGACTGCCAATGAAGTTTGCATTGAATCAGAGGGCAGAGCTAGCTACTAACTGACCAAAATTAGCCATAGAGGTCTTGGAGGACTGAGGACAGTTAGACACAGGAAGTAGTAAGGTGGGTCTTAGAGAGGGTCTCAGCCCTTTTGGATGGAGGAATGAGAGAACAGAGGTCACTAGTTGCTTCTCTGATCATTCAGGTTTTTGCCCCAATATCTGACTCCTGGGTTTTTATAGTAGATAGTATATAGTATATAGATAATAATTAGATTTAAACACTTCAGGGGCTTTTACTCTAAGAGTAAACCATTGAGGGAAGTGTTAGACTTCCTGGCCACTCCCCCAGCTGCATGACCGCACATGCGCAGTTCAGTAGCCAAGCAGGGGGCCTTATGTCTCACTTCATCCCTGTGGTCTCTGCGCACGCGTGGTGTAGCTCCGTAAGCCCACATGATCATGTGCAGGGAATCCTTACAAAGCCGGTCAGACTCTTCCCCTCTCTTCTGCTCTCTCCTCCCACCCCCTCTCTCCTTTCTCTGCAAAAGGCCTGGCCACTCTCTTCTGTCCCCTGCCCCCAATAAAGCTCTGATACTGGGTTTTGTCTGCCTTGTCGCTTTTCTGCACAGAGTAAAAGCGCCGCATTTAAAACCAACAGCAAGTTTTTTAAGGTTTTACGATGTTTGAAAGGTCCTTAGTTTTGTATAAAAGTCTAGCCAGTAGGGGGGAAGAAGGAAAGACACATGTCTGTTATTGTCACCTGTGTTAAGAACTGAAGTTAGCCAGCGAAAGCAGTGAGAAGTGATCGAGCTCTGAATGAATTCATTTGCCAACTTCATGAGTACAGTGTGAGAAAGAAGTTTAAATGACCTGAAGGGTTTGGGCCTGCGCATTGGAAGTCGTCCTGTACTGAGGTGGGGCAGCAAGCTGAGCTGGAGTAGATACCAGGCACCAGTTTGGGATTGGTTTGGTGACAGATACTTGTCAGTCCACAGGGGGGAACTTTGAATAGGGCAGACTGATTCATGAGCGTACGTTCAGGAGAAACATCTAAATTGGGCAATGGATACGTTCTGGGGAGTGTTTAAAGTCACGAACAGAGGACTAACTTGGAGCCTTGAGGTGCCACAGTTGAGAGATCAGCCTTAAAGGGAATTTGCTTGGGAGTCTTCAGCAGGGCGGGAGACAGTATCCAGAAAGCCCAGTGAATGTGGCATTTCATGGAAGTAAGGGACACATCTACTTCTGCTGAAAAGAACGATGAAGCCATGTTTCTCTTCTTTGGATAAATGTCTGTCAAGGCCTTTGGGTGTTTCGAGCTGGGTTGTTTATTTTTCACTCTCAAGTTGTGTTAGTCCCTCACCAGACAGATGCTCGCAAATACTTCCTCCCTCCTGTGGTCTGTCTCCACTCTCTGACAGTGTCCTTTGATGCTCAAGTTTTAAATCTTGATGAAGAGCAATTTATGTCATTTTTATTCTATGCGGTTTCCTCATCTTTTTCAAAAAGAAGATTAACTCCCTGAATCACTGGATGGTTATGGGATTAAATAAATTAACACATGAGAATAGATTAGGACAGGGTCTGCGTGCCAGTCAAGACACACTCTATGGAGGTGCCCTGTTCTGTTGCTCTGCTGCAGGCTTCTGTCTCTGAACTCCACCATGGAAAATGCAGTAGATGACCCCCCTGGTCACTGTCATTTCTCTCAGGTCATTTTTAACATTGTGGAGAACTTCTGTGTCCCTGGAGAGAATATCACATGCTATGGTACCTTCACCAAACATTTTATCCCCTTTCAAAGGATTGGATCGGCATCTTTTTTTGTTGTAGATTTGGTTTGGTTTGGTTTGGTTTTCTGAGACAGGGTTTCTCTGTCCTAGAACTCGCTCTGAAGACACGGCTGGCCTCGAACTCATAGAGATCCACCTGCCTCTGCCTCCTGAGCACTGCGATTAATGGAGTG